ACAGTCACTGAGGGATGGAGGCAGCACTGCTTCCCGTGGGACATGAGGGATAAGGCCTCTGAACATTCCAGCTGGAGGTACTGTGCTTCAGAAGGAACCACTTGGAAGAGGCAGAGGAATTCAACAGGAACGGGTAGAGATCTTGGAGAAAAGCCTTGCCAAGAAGGAAGGAATTGGAACTCCTGACTGAGAGGAAGATTGGAATTATAAATGCTAAGATACCTAAATGGCTGCTGCAGGGAAGGAAATTATACCTTCTGTGTGCCTGTGATGGATCAGATAAGAAATTATGGGCTTCAATTTCAACAAGGAAGATTGAGGATGGACATTAGGAAAATCGTGCCGGTATGAAAGCTGTCTTTGAGAAGTGAGATAGAGCACTTGGGAATGTGCAGGCTCCATTGCTGGAGGCCTTTCTTGCTGGGTTGGGATAATGTCACCTTGTGTGTGTGTCAGGAATAGTTCCTTAGACCAGGTGAGTAGGCTGTATCCCCATTTTTAGTCTTCAGGTATTAATAATTACGAATTTCAAATTTATGAGACGCATTCCCCATCAGAATTGGTCCCAGATAAGAAGGGGATGGATGTGCTCTGCCAGCACTGTTGGTTGGAAGCTGCACTTCATTTTACTCCCAAGCTTTTTAGTGAGCTTTGACTCATTTCTTGGGGTTCTTCTTTGCCTTTCTCTGGCAAAAACAGTCCCCTTCAATAGGTGCCCTATATAACTATTTGCCTTCATAAATTGAAGTTGATTACAGGAAGTTTGTCTTATTTATAGGAAAAATACAAGGACCCCAATTTTGACATATCATTTTAACTAATGGAAATTTCAATAATGTGTAGTTAGTTTTAAAGGAATGTAATATACCACAACAATAGTTACACTTAAAACTGTTCTTGCAAAATTGGCTCTCAAGCCTAGTTCCTGCGTGCATTTGAAATAATTTTCTGAATAGAAACAAAACCAAACAGGTTTGATTTCCATTTATCTGCTGTTTCTGAAATGAGGTTGAACCCGACCGGTATTCAGAGACTATTGCAGAGAAACAGAGAATAAATATCTTCAGGAGGAAACCAGCTATTTTCAGGAGTCCTTCAGTGGAGCAGTTCTTGAGCCAAGAATAGCAGCAGCAATTGTGCCTCGGTGCTGGAGTGGCAGCGACCCCGAGAGTGTGGCCGAAGCTTAAAAGAGCCATCGGCGTGAGATCCAGCACAGAGGGTGACACCACTCTGATGAGCCTCTGACAGGAAACTGCAAAGTTGAAACGTGCCCCATTTACCACATCATTAATATGTATTTGGGGCAGGTAGGAGGGGAAATAATCGTAAATTGGACATGCTGGAAGTTTGTGTGAATTAGCCTTCGCCATTTGTGTCTGGGCACTGATAAAAGCCCTCTATGTGCAATCTCAGAATTTACGGCGATCTTTAGGCCCTATAAATGGAAAGCTGACCCCATTCTGCTCCCTCTGAGTGCCCTGGAGGGAGCCGAGGCTGCCGGCCCGCGGTGTTCCAAGATGGTCGGTCCCGCTGTGCAGGCGCAGCCAGCGCCCGCTCCTGCCGCATTGTTCGGGCAGCTCTTCCCTGCCTCTATAAACAACTGCGCTGCTGATTAATGCGCTCGCGTTTGCCACTTAGAGCTGGTTTAGATAGAGGCAGGGAAGTCATTAAAGGCTTGGCAGCAGTCCAGGGTACATCTGGGACTTGGGAGCTGCCGCTGGGGCAGGGAGGAGGGCGGCGGGCGGGAGCTGGGGCAGGGGAGAGAGAGGACGCTTGGCACAGGAAAGAGCCGGGGCAGGGAGGAAAACGATGAGACAGGAGCTGGCACTGGAGCAGGGCGATGGGCAGGAGATGGGGCTGGGAGAGGGAGGAGGACACCGAGCAGGAGATGGGGCTGGGAAAGGAAAGACACCGGGCAGGAGATGGGGCTGGGAGAGGGAGGAGGACACTGGGCAGGAGATGGGGCTGGGAAAGGGAGAAGGACACTGGGCAGGAGATGGGGCTGGGAGAGGGAGGAGGACACTGGGCAGGAGGTGGGGCAGGAGGAAGGAGGAGAACACTGGGCAGGAGATGGGGCTGGAAGAGGGAGGACAGCGGGCAGGAGATGGGGCAGGGAAAGGAGCAGACTCTGGGCAGGAGATGGGGCTGGGAGAGGGAGGAGGACACTGGGCGGGAGATGGGGCTGGAGGAAGGAGATGGGGCAGGAGGAAGGAGGAGAACACTGGGCTGGAGGCAGGAGCCCAGGGCAGGCGTTCAGCAGCACCCGCGTCTTCTCTTGGCTGACTTTCAAAACAGCAGAAAAGCAGCTACGGGCGCTAATTGTAGCTGGGTCCTGAAGTGAAAATGTTTTGTGACAGTTGAAAGAATTTAAAGAGGAAGGAAGATCGGTTTAGTGTCAGCTGCAATTAGATAATCAAAGCTTAAAAATCCTGCTCTGTTGATACCTTCACCTAGAGCCGGGGAGCGGAGCTGGGGAAGGGGGAGGAGGGCTGTGCGTGGAAAGGGCATTTCCATAGCCAGTGCAGCCGGGGCCCGGCCGAGCTCGCAGGTTGTCTGGGCGCGCTCTCGCACACACAGATTTTCTTGGCAGCTCTACAGGATGAGGCTTACACTGTACACAGCCGACATATTGAAGCCGGGAGCCCTGGAGAACGTAGAGGCAGGAGTAGAAACAGCTCTGCACACAATGTAGCGTCTCCTAGGATGGTTGGGCGGCTCCTTTCTTCAGGTATTTTATTACCCATCAGCCCTTTTTAGAGCCAAAAAAAGAGAGAAAGTAACCCTAACCCTGAGAAAATAGCATCTGCTTCTGTTAAATCAATTTATTACATAACATTTCAGCGAGAGAGCAGCAGCACAGCGTCCTGAGCTTTTGGCTGCGTTTCAGGTTTGATAAAATGGCGTCTTCGCAGCGAGCTGCTTGTAAAGATATGTTGCACTGAGCAGAAAAATGCAATGATTTGGTGTTTTCTACTGCTGCTTTTGTGTCGGAGAGGTAGCATTTAGTGGAATCTCTACTAATAATGAAAAATCTTGTTTATTTTTGCTTGTTTTCTTAATGCATTTGAAAGCTTTCAGCATCAGAGGGAAGGAGCTACGTTTGAATGTCGTAGTGCAGAAAATGAAAAGGGGATAACAGGCTTTCCCCCGTGAGGGCTTAGCTATGGTTTAGTTTTAAAATAAATAAAGCTGCTTTATTCAATGCTTCCATCTCTTTTCTGCCTTTCCACGTTATGTGTGCTGTGAAAGATTTCAGCTTCCTCAATCCATGAGACTTGTTGTGAGTGAGCTTTGTAGGGGTTCAGATAGATGCCAGTTTTCAAATCTGAATGAGCTGGATGCAGCAGGTAACCTGAAATGTTGGCACTACAATGCCCAAATTTTCTGCTTTATTATATTTTTGTGCTTCAAAATAGATGCTTATGTCGTGTTTTCTTTATGAAATTAGGCTACATTTGCTTTAGCACTTTAAATGTTCCTGATGATTCCCATTTAATTTAGATTTGGAAAAACTCATTTATAGTATTTTAAAGATCTGCTCATGTTGAATTGAAAACTATATTTTGAGGGGGGGAGAGAAAGCAATTTGCCCTTTTTTTCTCATATTCTGACTCAGGATCACTAACCTTTGTGTGCCAAGGCAGATCCCCAGCAGGGCTGTCAGTGGCCCTTGGGATTTTTTTTGTGTTCTGCATGTCAGAGCAGGGAGCACTGTCTGTCATCTGTCCTTTGGGCAGCACAGGGCGAGCCAGGGGGTCTGATTGTTGTTGTTATGTGACGAATGTGGACTGAAAAATAAAACGAGTAATAAGAGAGGAGTCACTGTTAGATGTGATTTAAAATGGGGTGAGCGCAATTTATTAATAATGTTCCATTCAGAGTTCATCCCAGGCTTTGCCATTTCGTACCCTGTCTGTACTTTGGTTCCAAAGTCAGTTGAATGTTGTGTTATAGTTGAGACAGGATTTTACTGTGCAGCATTTGAACCAATTACTGCAATGGAAGCTATGAAGATACAGTTACTTTTAACTCAGCTGAATAGAAAAATTAAGTATGATTGTAAGTGAGATTTTCAGAGGAGGTGGGAAGTTTGGGGTCAGTTGCTTGTGCAGGCAAAGTATTTTGCTTTTCTGAGAAATGCATGCAACAGCTTCTCCCATTTCACTCTACTCATATTTTGCATTTATAATCTATGTAAACGCTAAACTGATTTTGCAACTAATTATTCATTACCCAACACAGCCAAAAATGTTTTCTGTTTTTAATAAGTACTGAATTGAAGCTGGTCAAGTATGTTGGCTACAGTATGTAATAACACCAGCAATCTCCTCCCACCCCATTAAGGATATTATTTAAAAAAAAACCAGCAGCCCAAAACAAAACAACCCCCTCATGCTATTGGTTACACTGATCAGAGCTGTGCATTTTTCAGGTCATGTGTATGGTTGCAGTTGGACAGAAGTTTTTTGCTTGTTAAAAACAAATTTGGGCCATTATCCTCAAATTAATATTTCCTTCCTGATGGCTGAAAAAATGTTGTTGATCAGGGGAATGATAAAAGACGCACAATTCAGATTTTGAAACGCAAAGTATTAATTTAAAAATCATTTTCACTTTGTGGTGTCCCAGCAGTAGGATTTGCTAACATGGAATACCTGTGATTCCTGTTCCTTGTGCCTTGTTTACAGTCTTTACTCAGCTCACAGAGGAGGGATAGAAATGCTTCTCGTGGACTCAGTGCTTTTATTTCACATCTTTGCATAAATAAAGAGGAATCGATTCTTAAGAATTTTTAAAATGGGTTTCCCATTTCAATCTTAACAACTTTGAAAAGAAAACATTGGGAATTTCTGTGAAGAGTTATTTTCCTAGAAAGTTGGAGGAAATCAAAACAAACCCAAACAGAAAAGTACTCTAGATTTAATCATATAAAATATTTTGCATTCATTATTTTTCCAAAATGTTTAAGGTCTTTACAGATAAAATAAGACTGTGCTACTCATTATTTATTTCATAGCAGCAAGCCCCTTTTAGTTAAAGAAAATGGAAAAATGCCTTTTTGTTATTTGCTTCTAGAGACAAGAATATAAAACGTACTGTCTTCAAGACCTGTGTTCAAACTCTTGGTTTGTCTGACAGCAAAGACCCAGTTTTTGCAGGTTTCTGTTCATTTTGTGAATTTTTTTTCCCCATTCTCTTCATCTGTCTTTTTTCTTACGAGCTATATGGCAGCAGCCTTTGGTGTTAGAACCCATTGTTCCAGTGGGTGTTGGACACTCTGAGGTTATTGCAGATTTTTCTCTGATTTTTGAATCTGTGACTTGTGGAAGGTGCCAGCAGGATCCTGCTGCTCCAGAGGGGGATCACTGATTTCACATCCCCTACACAGAATGACTGTAATGCCTGCCAAAGTCACCACTTTGAGATCAGCCCGTGGTTATTGCTGAGGGAATCATCTGAACCTTGGGAAGAGTGACTGTGATGGCACAGGAGAGGGAGCACCTGGATTTGCAAAGCCTTGGGAAGGCCAGGCTTTGGAGCTGCGCATTCCAATGGGATCCTGCTGGAGTAGCTGTGCTTGGCCAAGCCCAGGCACTTGGCCATTTTCTACTCTTAATGTGGACACCTCTTGGGTTTTATAGTTCTTCTCCATTATAATTTTCTTCTTGGTTTCTCTGCTCCTCAAGATCTGATCTCTTATTTAATGAATTGTTTTGCTCCCTAAGCTATTTTGTCATCTTCAATCCCACCCCTTCCCTTTATTTTTTCTCCTAAGTGCTTTCAAATTTGAGCACTGCTTTAAACACCATCTTTGGGGGAGAGGAGAAAGGAGCTGATTAAACAAGCAGCTCCCTTTCATCTCATCTTGCTTGCCCTGGTGCTGTTCCTGTGAGTGTTGGAGGTGTCCTGTGCTCTCTCCTGATCCCCCTTGCCCAGCCTGCCCTGCACAGCTCTGCTCAGGCAGCACTGCTGCTCTCCCAGCACCCGCACACAGAGCTGAGCTTTCAGCTCTCACAAGACCTTTCATTGGAACAATGCATTTCCAGCCACTTTCAAATCCTTCTGTCAAAGCTCAAACGCAGCCCTGAGCTGCACCACCCACAGGGTTGAAAAAAATCTCGTATAACTCCTCTTATCTGATTCCTTGGTTGCCTCAACTTCTTATCTTCTGGCCTGGCCTGCTGCTGCTCTTTTCCTTTTGTTCATTCTTACTCTGCTAAGAATTTCCTCGGCTCATTTCTCTGACCCTGCTGACCCTTTTTAAGTCCTTTCACAGCCTGCCTTCCCCTTCCATGTCTTATCTGAGATTTTGGTCTGTGTTTAACACCTGTGGAGCACATGTAGATCATCAGGTAAATGTTCAACTGTGCTGTAGCAGTGGCTGTGTTCAGGAATAACAGGATGCTTTCTTCCTTTCCAGCTATTGCATGTAGAGGAAGGAATCCAGGTAAATCCAAATGGTTCTGTTCACGTTCTTTCAGATTTGTCCTGCACTTGTCAATTATTATGGAAGAAATTCTTACCTGTGAGGGTGGTGAGGCAGAGGGTGCCCAGAGAAGCTGTGGCTGCCCCTGGATCCCTGGAAGTTTCCAAGGCCAGGCTGGATGGGACTTAGAGCACCCTGGGATAGTGGGAGGTGTCCCTACCTATGGCAGAGAGTGGAAGGAGATGAAGGTCTCCCTTCAAACCCAAGAAATTCTATTTTCTCTGATTATTTAGATCTTTCTGTGATTTAGGTCTTATCCTGGTATCATGAGAAGATAGGTGATGAACTAAGAATGTTTTCCCTTTCTCTAAAATTCTTTTTTTTACTTCAGTTAATTAAAAAAAAATAATCTGGATTGGTTTAGCGTGCTATTTCTTCATCTTGCAAAATCTTTATAAGGCAACCAAGTAATTACCTTAAAAAGCTACAGGTGAAATGTGGGAACAAGAATTTGTCAGAGAGAGAGCTTTTTCTAACCTTGGGAGTAATTTTTGCAGTATCAGAACGCCTCTAATTAGAGGAGCTAATCACACCAACATATTTGTGATTTAAATTAATTCATATTAGGCATTCGTTGTTAACAACTTGTTTGGGAGATTTGTTGCATCCATCTTCCCCACAAAAATATTCATTTTATTCACAGATCACAAAGAGCAGAAGCCATGTTTTAGCAGATTTAAAGCAAGTAAAAATAATTGACATCTGAAATTTGTTACTTTGATATGTGCAAGCAGTTAAGAGGAGCTCTTCTGCAGATTGTCTCCCATACAGATCTCTTGGATCAGACTGAAATACTTGTTATCAAATTGCTGTCAAAAGAAACTAAGAGAAATAATCTCGTACAGAGTAATTGGGATGGAAAAGATGCAAAACCCTGACTAAGCTTGAGTTCTTAACATGAGACGTGTTGTGCCTTCCAGTTTATCATCATACCGTGGCAAGCAAGCAGGTGCTCAAGAGCATTTGGTTAATTTTTTGACTTAGTGTCTGAGTTTGAGGCTGTGACAGTGCTGGAAAGGCACACATCACTTTTCATTGGCTTGGGGACACAGGGGGTTCTGTGTGCAAATGCAAAATGATGTTTAAACCACAAGTAAAGCCTGTGAGAGGTAAGTTTCTTGACAAATCTGTCAGTTATTTAGAGATGCCCAAGTTCTCTGCTAAAATATACATCAGAGGTGTTTATAACTGGCACCTGATGCTAAGGGTTGCTGTCTGTATTTGTTCCTCTATTTTGAGGAAGGATTCTAAACCTAAATGCAGTGTGAATTTAGTGTGTTGTGATGTGGATATGTATGTAATATCTCAGGGCAGGCAGACATTTTATTGGATGCTCTTGCTTTGCTTTGTATTTCTCTGAAGAATAAGAATTGAGTCAAAATAGATGGTAAGAGTCTACTAGATATTCTTTTGTGTTTTTACCAAATTTGCTTTTTAGACTTTTCACGTTGATAAGTAGATTTGCTCTTCTTATTTATTGCCTGCTTATTATTTTTACTCTTACACTAGGGGCTACAAAACATTTGCTCCGTTCTAAAGTGAAATTGGTTAGTTATTTTAATTGAGAGTCTTGCCAGATTAAAAAAAAAAAACAACCTGAACAAATTAATATGAGCATCGTGCTCCATTGTAGTGAGGAAAATTGCTGTATTATGTTAGAGAATGTAGTCTAAATTTTAGCAGAATGTAGTGTTGTAACTAGTGATGTAAAACAGTGCTTAATAGAGGGCTTTTGCAGTGTTGGAACAGTGGACTAATTTTTAACCTTGGATCCTTTCAGATCTCAGCCACAGTGGATTGGGAGACCATTATGAGAATTCCCACTGGGGACAGCAGCCCGCTTTCAGGAGTGAAGGCAACTGCAGCTGGGATAAAGTGATAATAGACAGGACTGACAAGGAAGCGTGGCCTTCCATTACCGGAGCTGAGACTGAGTCTGCCTCAGAATGTACTACAGACACTGACTCTGCCTCCAACTGTGGCTCAGAGAACAGTAGCATGGCTACAGGGAGTGCCCAAGGCAACTTCACTGGACATACAAAGAAAACTAATGGCAATAATGGCGCCAACGGAGCACTCGTCCAAAGCACTTCTAACCAGAGTGCCCTTGGAGCTGGTGGAGCAAACGGCAACGGCAGCTCGGCCAGGGTGTGGGGGGTGGCTGCAGGCTCCAGCTCTGGCCTAGCTCACTGCTCTGCCAGTGGTGGGGATGGAAAGATGGACAACATGATGGGAGACGGTAGAAGTCAGAACTGCTGGGGTGCTTCCAACTCGAATGCTGGCATTAATCTTAACCTTAACCCTAATGCCAATCCAGCTGCCTGGCCTGTACTTGGACATGAAGGAACTGTGGGAGCAGGCAACCCTTCCAGTATTTGCAGTCCAGTCAGTGCCATAGGTCAGAACATGGGCAACCAGAATGGGAACCCAACAGGCACCTTAGGTGCTTGGGGAAACTTGCTGCCGCAAGAGAGCACAGAACCACAAACGTCCACTTCTCAGAATGTGTCTTTCAGCGTACAACCTCAGAACCTTAACACTGATGGACCAAATAACACTAACCCCATGAACTCTTCACCAAACCCTATCAATGCAATGCAGACAAACGGACTGCCGAACTGGGGGATGGCCGTGGGCATGGGGGCCATCATCCCGCCCCACCTGCAAGGCCTTCCTGGTGCTAACGGAACAGCGGTTTCTCAAGTCAGCGGGGGCAGTGGTGAAGGAATGGGCAGTTCAGTATGGGGGATGTCCCCAGGTAATCCTGCCACAGGAAACAGCAATTCTGGGTTCAGTCAGGGGAATGGAGACACTGTGAACTCAGCATTAAGTGCTAAACAAAACGGATCCAGCAGTGCTGTGCAGAAGGAAGGGAACGGAGCGAACGCGTGGGACTCGGGGCCTCCCTCTGGCCCCGGGGTCCTGGCGTGGGGCAGGGGCGGTGGCGGGGTTGGCAGTGTGCATTCTGGAGCCTGGGGCCACCCCAACCGCAGCGCCAGCAACGGTGTCAACGGGGAGTGGGGCAAGCCCCCGAACCAGCATTCCAATAGCGACATCAATGGGAAAGGATCAACAGGGTGGGAGAGCTCGAGTGTTACCAGTCCGAATCCTGCCATGCAGCAGGGCAATGAACAAATGAACTCTTGGGCCAAAGCTGCAGCATCTGGCACCACGGCTAGTGAAGGAAGCAATGACAGCGGTGGGAGTCAAAATGAAGGCAGTACTGGGAGGGAGGGGGCTGGAGAGGGCAGGAGGAGAGACAAAGGGATGATAGACCAAGGGCAAGTTCAGTTGCCAAGAAATGACCTTGACCCCAGGGTCCTGTCCAATACGGGGTGGGGACAGACCCCTGTGAAGCAAAACACTGCCTGGGAATTTGAAGAGTCCCCAAGGTCTGAACGGAAGAATGACAATGGAACTGAGGCCTGGGGTTGTGCAGCTACTCAATCTTCAAACTCAGGGGGGAAGAACGATGGGTCCATCATGAACAGTACAAATACCTCTTCAGTATCTGGGTGGGTCAACTCTCCACCGGCAGCTGTTCCAACAAATACAGGTTGGGGAGACAATAACAACAAAGCACCAAATGGCCCAGGGGGGTGGGGAGAGTCAGCAAGCTCTACTACTGTTAATAATGCTGCTGCTGCCAAAAGCGGCCACGCTTGGAGTGGGACCGCAAATCAGGAGGACAAATCACCTACCTGGGGTGAACCTCAGAAACCCAAATCTCAAAACTGGGGAGATGGACAGAAATCAAATCCAAGCTGGACTTCAGGAGGTGGAGACTGGACAGATTCATCATCTGTTCCTGGACACTTGGGTGATGGGAAGAAGAATGGATCTGGGTGGGATTCTGATAATAGATCGGGGTCTGGCTGGAATGATTCCACAAAGTCTGGGACCAGTGGGTGGGGGAATGGCACAAACAGCAAGGCTAATACAGGTACAAGTTGGGGGGAATCTTTAAAGCCAGGCCCCCAACAAAATTGGGCTAATAAACCCCAGGACAACAATGTGAGTAACTGGGGAGGAGCTGCTTCTGTAAAACAGACGGGGTCAGGGTGGGTTGGTGGGCCAGTGCCAGCCAAACAAAAAGAGAACTGTGAGGCAACTGGCTGGGAAGAGCCATCTCCACCGTCCATTCGCCGCAAGATGGAAATCGATGATGGTACCTCAGCTTGGGGCGACCCAAATTACAACAACAACAAGACTGTAAACATGTGGGATAGAAATAATCCTATAATTCAGAGCAGTACCACAACCAACACCACCACCACTAGCACCATTATCAACACCAACATGGTTGAACCTCAGCCATCGCACCAGTCAAGTGCCCAGCCAAACCGGTCCCCGCTGCTTGGCCCAGGTATGAGAACACTTTTGTGAAATACTTCATAGAGCAGGTTTATGAGATACTTTATAGCAGTACCAATTGCTGAATGCTGTCTGTCCTATCGGGGTGTTGGGTAGAAATCCTGTATTTATGTCCAGAATACTTTATTCTTTTATTCTGGAGCAGTCTTTACTTGAGGACAGAATCCGTGGAACCTGACACAAATTTCCATAATCCAAATGAATATAAGAAAAGCTTGAAACAATGTTTGGTCAATAGCATGGTAGGTTCTTAAGTTGTGGATCCATATTTATTTTAACATCTCTTCCACAGTTACTTAACACCTTTTAATTCAGCCATTTGAGAGGGTTTTGACAAACCTTTCTTCTGTTATTCGACTGCTGTCCCCACTGCGCAGGCTCGGTGTGTTTAGACAGCCTGCATCTGTTTCTTTTCTGCAAAACATCTCTTGGCAACAGATGTTTGTTAACAATTACATGAATTGAGGCTGCTGCTGTTTCTCTGTCCAGTTTGTTGTCTTTTATGAAGAAATGGTTTTCAGGGTCAGACGTGGGCAGCATCCTGGATTTTGTGTGGTTCTCAAAAAGCAGGACTGGTTCAAGATGCTAATATTCAGGGTGGCTGAAGTTAGGTTATCCTAACTTCAGCTGTGTTTCAAAGACAAGGTTTTAGGCATTTAGGAATTTTGCTAATCAAAGGCAAGGTGCTGTTGTAGACAAGCAGCAAGGAATAAAAATGCATAAAAAGTGGGAAAAATGCTTAAAAGAGAGGTATTTAAATAAAAGTTACACTAACAGACCATATCTATATTATGGCCACAGACCTCTCCAAAATAAATCTAATAATGCAGTACTCTTTCAAATTCTCCATCTGAGTTTTTGTTTCCAGGTTTTTGTGTCATTGTGGTCATGGCTAAGTACTGACTTTTTAACCACGTTTTTCTCCAAGTGGGATTTGTTCTCTCATTCCCATCCTTTTTCTCTTTGATGTTTTGAAGTTATTCAAATTTGCTTTAATGTCTGTATAAAAATAGTCTTAAGTTCCCCACTCTGGCCAAATATTTTAACAGTAGAGGATACCTATTTTAATAAAATAATGTGCTCCAGAAGGAGAAATCTTTAAATGGCTTTGTACTTGGTCAGCCCAACATATGTGACTGACTCATTTAATCCATATTTAAAACTTTACCCATGAAACAAGAATTCAGATTCCTGAATTGTAATGGAAGTATCATAAAAGTGGATTTTTGGTTGGATTTGGGTGAGGTTTTGTTTTTCACTAAGGTGATTTTTGGAGGATTACATTGGTGCTTGTAAAACTTTTCATACGCAGCAAAGCATTGTTAATGTTATTCAAATAATTAACACCTTGCAGAAGAAAATTTATCAGTCCAGAGCCCTTCAGATTTTGAAAATGGAATTTAAAAGCTGGCGTAAATCCGCAGCGATTCCTTTGGAGAATGGACAGTAGCAAAGAAAAGGTTTCTTTGAAGCAATATGTTTATATATTCAGGAAGCTGCCTATGAACACATAACCAACCTGCTCAACCCTGACCAGGTTAAAGTGAGTGTTGGGCTTCTTGAAAAATGTAAGCTAGAAAGATTCTAAGATCTTTTAACATAAGCAAATCTTTTATCTTCTCTCTTTTTTTTTAAATTTTCCAAGATAAGCAACGCCAGCTCTCAGAATATATTTAAATCAGTAATGCAAGAAAGTATGAAATGAGTAATAGTGAAGACAATTTAAAATACGGTTCTGATATTAAAATTTTGATCAAGTTGTAGCAGTCATAAATTAATCCTCATGTTATATATTTTTGCTCCATACACTTAATACAGTACAAGTATAAAGGCCAAACATGGAAATATTTGGAAGGATTTTTGTCTAAATGGAAGCAAGGAGCAGTCCCTTGTGTCTTGAGCTCTGCCTGTGTTTACTTGTGGCTGTGCCAGAGAGGGACCATGGCTGTGCTTATCTCCCACCCAGAGCAGCAGTGCAATTCCAAGTGATCCCAGTGACCCCTGTGGAGTGCAGGAGGCCCCGTTCTCCCCTGCACATGGCAGCTGCACAGCAACCTCCTGGTGCTCTGGGTGCAGTGTACACAGACCTGAAACAGCTACAAATCATCTCCCAGCTGGGACAGCCAGAACATGGGAAGCCAGTAGTGAGCGTGTTCCCTCCCACGCAGACAGAGCCCTGCACTTTGGAGTTGTGCTGTTTAACTCTTTCCTCCTCCAGTTCCCTCTCCACTTGGCTGTGCATTTCCAGCTCTGCATGAGGGAGACAGGAATCCTGTAACCAGGAGACTACTGCAATCCACAGCCAAAGTCCATCCAGCAGCAGTTCTTCTCCATGCAAAGCATGATTGTGTTATTAGAGCCTGTGCCTTAGGGCACAGTTAAGGGCTCATCTAAAATCCTGCAACTCTTGAACTCTGTAGTTGCCATGGGCATTTTGTCACCTGCATGGGTCATGACGAGCTCTACCGGTCTCACTCAGAGAATAAAATGAATAAGGAATCATAGATTCCATTCCTATATGAGTAGGGAGGAGTGGTGCAGATGGAAATTGTCACAGTCAGTCACATGTCCTGCAAGCAAAGGAGTGGATTTTAATTGTGCACTAGTTAGGGGTTCACAAAGGATTAACAGTCCCTTTTGGGATTGAACTTTATGCTTTATTAGTTTGGAAATAGAGGCCAAGTTACAGTCTTGTTATTCAAGTTGTCACCCATCCCCAGAAGTTCTCCAGATCCTTTGAAGGCAGAACTTAAAAGCCATTGATGGGAAGCAGATGTTGGTAAGCACTTGATTAAAATAAAGAATGCTCTAAGGAGTTTCATTTTCCATTGGAAAAGAAAGGGAAAAAAGAGGGAGGAAAGGGATCGATAGTGTGGTAGATACAGTCCTTTCTGGCAATGGTGAATTGCTTAGAAAGATGAGCAGAAAGCTGGTGGGTTTGAGTTAGACTGGGGTTTAATCTAAATTACTTGTGCATAATTCTTCCTAGCACTTCTAACTCATGCAGCTTTGATATGAGTGGAATAAAAAGTGAGAAATGATTTTGCAAACAGAAATGATTAAAAGAGATTTTTAGATCTTAAACAGCATCAGATCCTCCCTCCAAGTGCTGAGGAGTGGGCTTGATGCTTTCCTGTTCTCATTGCATCAGGAGAGCCTGGCAGGGCTCCAGCATCCTCCAGCTGAGGGAAGAAACAACAGAAGATAACACAGGCTTCCCTGTAGGGATTGTAGGTCACAAATTAAGGTCTTCGTGGTTACTAGAGAGCGAGGAGCTTAAGTTTTAAAAACCTGAACTGGGTCTAAGTTCTGAAAGCTCCAAACATCTCTGTTCCTTTCATAATCCTGTGCCACTAAGTGGCAACTCACGTGACAGTGTTTTTCTTACTCTGAGCTTCCATCAGAATGGATTTGAAAGCAGCTCAGCTTTGGGCTCCTTTAGGGTGCTCATGTGAAAACCTAAAACCTTGGGTGCACAGCCCATGAACAGTCAGGTTTTGGGGGGCAGCCAAGTGATGCTGAGAGAGCTGCCCTCGATTTTAACACACGGGTGATGTCACTGCTGAAACCCGAATTAGAGCTTTCTGAATGCTCAGTCTTGAACTGGAATCCCTTTCAGAAAACGAGGATGTGAAAGATTAAGAGATGCAGGTGGCTCTTAAATGTATATATAAAACACAGAATAACTAGTGTGTAATTACTAAACAACCTCTTTTCTGCCTAATATCTTCTTTTTTCTCTGTATAAGGTTCTAGTATTTTGGTTTGCCTGTATTGTGCTCATGTGCTCTGGTATTTATCACGGACCAACAACTTGAAGAAAAACAATTTCTGCCATCCAAATAGCTATAGGGTTATTTTGAGGGAAAACAACTGCATCCTGCCACAACTTAGTTAACATTTCACTTTCCCTTGAGGATTTCCTGTTGGCTGTGGCCCAATGTTAATTATGTTTTTATTTCTATAAAACAAAGCTCTGCCAATGTGTCCATGTTTATTACTCGCTGTGATCTTTTCATTTCTTGCAGTTCTAACAGTGTTTTAAAACTTCAGTACTAAAGCCTCACTTTCTTGCCAAAGAAGCCTTTAAATGGAGCACGTTCTGTTGTGAAACAACATTCGTGCAGATCTGGGTGGGTTTTAAGGAGCTTTTTACCAGGAGAGCCGAAATTATTTTCATCAGAAAATAGGAAGTTTTCTCCAAGCAGAACTTTTGAAAATGTTTGGCAGGTTCAGGTTTTGAGACCACTCAAAGGTCTTGGTTTGCTTTCTCAACATCCATGGGGAGTTTTGCATCATCATTCAAAAATGTAACTTTAATATTTTAAATTTCCTAAAACAGAATCATTTGGAGTCATATAAAGATAGCACAGAGACAGTAGCATTGGGACAGCAGTATTTACACAGAGGGGAAACAGGTTTGCAATTGAGAAGTGCTCCAGAATTTACAGAGTAGTTTTTACAGTGCACAGGTTATTTCTCCAGCAGCCTTCAGGTTTTATTTACGAATTTCCTGCACTTAATTTTATCTGTTAAGATAGTTTGGAAAACTTTTTGATTTATTTAGTTTGCTTTTATGTACTTGTATTATTTTCTATTAGTAAAGGCTAGTTCCCCCATTATTTGTAATCACATATTATTTCCTGCTCAGTGCATTTAAAAGCACTTAAAATAATTTGGACATTACATATATGTGGCCTTTAGTTCAAGTCGTTGAATTTATAAGAGCAACAGAAGAACCAGGTGGGGGTTTTTTTTGAGGTTTTTATTCTGTAATGTAGCACACTTTGGCTTTTTAATATATGAATTATGTTTTAAGGATGATTTCATAAGTAGAATTGGGACAAGGTTCCAGTAGAGGTTGCATGAAGTCAGGGAGATGTCTCTGCACTGAACCTGTTTGCAGGCTGCCTGGTGCTGTAGAGTGTTTTGTTTTCTGTTTCGTTTGCCTGCGGTTAATCTTTTTCAGCTGCCAATAAGATTAAATACACGCAGTTGTCTGCCAGGTGCCTCCTGAGTAGTGAGGCAGAAATTCAAATAAAGCCTCCCTTAAATAAAGTTGGCTTGAAGATACAAGCAGGAACCTTGAAATAAGCATTTTAGGTGCAGCACCAAGGAAGCTGTCATGTTAAGTACAGGTTCATTTAGGTACATCTGTTGATCTGCCAGTTTATCTTCTTTGCACACCTTAAAATAACCAGAAATGTAAGGTATGTTAATCAAGCCTAAACACGGTATTTTTGTTTCAAATGGAAATCACTTGAATGAAGCAGTGACATTTTGGGTTGTTTCAGGAGCTTGTTTTAAATCCAGTGCCTCTTGCTGCTAGAGAAGGAGTTTTATGAAGCTGCAACACACCAGTGGAGAGCTTGGCCCTGGGTTGTGCCATCTGCACTTGCATCAGTGTCTGAGGGAGCTGCAGTGGCTGTAGAGCCTAAAATAAATATGTAATACAGGACCACGGGAGCAAGGCACAGCTCTGGGCACATCTATTTGATTGTTTTCTCTGCCAGAAAATGTTGGAGTTGTTATTGGCAGTGGATGTTGCTGCAGTTTCTGGAAACGGGAATTCTGTGGAGCTCAATGAATTCTGCAAGGACTTGTTGCTCACTATTGTTTGGTTATTCCAGTGTATTTCAGGGTACTGTTAGACACTCCCTTGCTATTGCCTACCTGTTCTTAGTGTCAGTTTGTGGAGAAAATGTTGTTCCTGCTTTTTGAAACCTTTCCAGAGTATTTTTACAGATGCCATTGTGGGGCTAAAAAAGGAAATAGTGCTGTGGCAAAGCAGCATCTGGTCATTCCCTTACAAAATACTCATGTCAATAATATTCATCTCCAGTGAAAAGACAACAAGTTCCTGATTTAGCAGCCTAATTATCAGTGGAAGTTTTAAGCAGACTTAATTCTACATTATTTGTTGAGATCTCAGCTGCCATGTAATGGGATGCAATTTTTTCTACGATTGTAGAAAAATAGGTTAGTGTCAGGTATCTGTAGGAATTTTGTTTTCTCACTTGTTGTGCCTCTCTTTGTTCATGTTTACAAAGTACCTTGAACTCCATCTGTGATCCAAGTCCTGTCTCCAGAAAATCTCTGGTAAAAATGGTTGTAAATGCAGTTTGCCCTTTTGCTGTGTTGCTCAGTGTTGTTCTGGAGGCTCAGGAGCCCTGTGGCTGTTCTGCCACGTTCAGCTGCAGGGCTAAAATCGTGTCAGATGGATTAAAGCGCATTACACTCAAGCCAAGCCAGACTAAGGCTGTTTCTTTGGAGTAGCTTATGTCTTCCAGAGAGTTAATGTAACTCTGTAGGAAAACAATGGCTTCTACCTGCCATTCCCTGTGCTTTGATCATGGATCCTAATTGCACTCTTTATTAGTTGACCTTAAATTATTGTTTATTATAATGTAGAGAGTCAGTGATGAGGTAACCATGAGCTGTAAATAAAAGCTTTAAGGAATACGTTCAGCACAGGTAATCTTCACTCAGAGTGGGAACAATCAAACAGCATCTTACTGCCAGGGCATGAGAAAAGAGATTTTATAGTTTGTAAACAGTGAAAAGGAATTAAAATAGGTTAAAATCTTTCAGTGAAGCAAGGCCCAACTCAGACTGGGGTCCTGGTCTCCAGAATTGTGGCCCTGGGCAGGTGGGAGCAGCTCTCCTTGGGACCAGAGAGGTGCTCACTTGGCAGCCTGGTTGCTTTTGGCTGTGGAGAAAAACCCTCTTTCTGTATTGGCAACTTGGCATTAGTATTGAATTAGGAAAAGACTCTCAAGATCAAATTTAAGGGATTTTTTTAAACACACTTAACTACAATCACTGTTTGTACTTACTGGTTCATGCTCTGTCCAGAGAAACTCTTGATTAAAATGTGAAGTATTTTGGAATTACCTGATGAAGAAACCTTTCCTCTCATCACTGTTCTCCTTGCCTTGCTCCAGCAGGCTGGGGAGAGATGCCTGCTGTCCACACCAAGAGTGAAGCTTCCTGGGGAGAGCCCTCCTCCCCTTCTGCTGCAGTTGATAATGGCACTTCAGCGTGGGGGAAGCCCCCCAGCAGTGGGACCGGGTGGGGAGAGAATCCTGCCGAGCCAGCAGGGACCTATGGAAGAACAAACGCTCCAGCTGCTGCCCCAGCACTGTGCAAACCAGGTACACACAGGGCTGCCACTGTCCTGGCAGGGGAAGGGGGTTTGCTTCTGCCACTTCTGATTTTCTGTGCATTGCAGTCACAGGCTGCCTTCGTGATTTCATTCTCAAAACTTTCACAAGGCCACGTTAATCGAAATACCAAATTAATTCAAAACTATGAATATTGTGCATCCATCTGTACATTTAAAGGAGTAGTTTTGTGTGTTTGGAAAGCAGCATAGCAGAGGTGAAGGAAACTGAAACTGCAGAAGAACGTGACTGGGACTTAAAACCTTGATATCCAAAAGAAACCTGTATTGAGATGAGAAGCAGTGGAGAACAGTCAAGATAGAAATGGCTCTTGTAGGAACACCTGAGAACCACTAGTCATAACAACCTCATGTTGGGTTAAACTGAGTGAGTGGGTGTTTTCTTCAGCCATTGAAACTGTTGCCAGGTTCAGGAACATCCTGAACTATTTCCTGCTTTGTGATTCCTGACTCATGGTACTTGATAAATATCCTCCATCTCTGAAAGTCCTGAAGGCCACGGTGATTGCTTTAGACTCAACTCTTGGCTGTGGAGATCGTCTAGAGTTTCACTCCTCCAAAACAGACATAGTTAGAAGTCCCAGAAAACATAAAAGGGGGGAGTGACAGCTCTTAAGATGAGTAATCCCAGCTTTAAACAGAGTAAACAGAATGAAATGGACTGAGGTGACACAACCTCAGCACTGAATATGAAGCGTTCCCTGCAGCCCACGAGCTCCTTTCAGATTCCATTCTTCGGGATGGAAATGAGTTTCTGAGCAGTAATGACTTTGATAGTGGGTTTGTTCATGGAAGAATGTGGTAGGTAAAATGGTGAGATTCATTGAAAGCAAAATAGCATTTAACAAGTGTGTGCTCATACTTTGGTTCCTTGTTCCCAGGAGAGTGGAGTGGCCATGACCACACATCCTACTGGTTCTGGGAAAAGCAGGACTTGCAGTTGCTGGGTGTTCTATTCTCTAAGTATTTAGAGAACTTTGGTTTTTTTTTTTTGCTAACTTCGAAGAAGACATTCTTATCATTTTAATGCCAATTAAGCTGTGTGATGAACCTCTGTATCTCTTGAAAATACTCACGTTAGCACACTGGATATGGCACAAAAGGTTATTTCTGTAAAATTTGCAGGAAACTGAACAAGATTTTTTCTTCTCCCACTTCCCCTCCAGCTTCAAAATCTATGCAAGAAGGCTGGGGCAGTGGTGGGGATGAAGTGAATCTCAGTACTAGTCAGTGGGAAGATGAAGAAGGAGATATGTGGAATAATACTGCTTCACAAGAGAGCAGCTCCTCCTGTAATTCCTGGGGGAATGCCCCGAAGAAAGGACTTCAAAAGGTAAGACAAAAATAAAGACACTCTCCAGCAAGAGTGGAATTAGTGTAACGTTCGTAGAATAAGTTGTCACAAATTTGCTGGTGCATTACACCTGAAATTAAACCTCTGACACCTGAACACAAGCACAGCTTGCCACTACAGTGGTTCAAGTACAGCCTACCTTGTTTCCAGGGGAAAATGGGAGATCTTTGAATTTAGGCATGTCAGATGCTTCGGGAGTTTTTTTGTTGTTGCCTTTGTTTTCTCTAAGTTTTATAAGCTTCCATGTATTCTAAAGAAATGATAATGTATTAAAAGAAAGAGGAGAAGGTGTTAAGGGGGCTTTCAGACACTTCCCATGGTGGTGGAAAAGCAAACAGTAGTTTGTGATGGAGTTGCTTAACAAAAAAAAAATCTGTTTCCTATTTGTGAGGACGGTGTGTGTGTGTGTGTGAGAACAAAGCGAACTTGTGTTAATGCTGCACTCAACCGAGAACATAGACAATTGTGTGAGGAAATTTTCCATTGCACCGTCTTTATTTCAGGACAAGGCCAGGCTGTAACTTAAAGGAATTGGGAATGCATTTAGCCACTTTGTTTGTTATTCCATTAGCCAACAGTTAGGCCGGTGATTTGATCAAGTATGGTTGTTTCTTGTACTGTCCGCAGCCCAAAACAAATCCGCGCTTGTCCCTTGGTACTTTCTGGAGAACTGAAAGGAAGAGACTTCTTAAGGATTTTGTGATAGAAAAGCTGCACAGAGATCTTTTAAAGGTGTTTATCTAGACGCTCTTGTTTGTTTTTAAGAAAATACACTGAGTAACATTCTTAACTTCAAGGTCGCAAACTTGTTTTTGGGAATGTTTTTCAGGAAGTGTTGTACTATTTCAGCTTTATTTCATTATATTTTTCTGCCAAGGATTAAAATGAAATATGTAAATTCAAAGGTGGCTTTAATTCAGTGGCCAGCAAATCAAATACTAAATAGTACACTGAACACCTATTCAGCTGAGATAAAATTTTACACTTTTGGGGGCAGAGAATCATAGTCGCGTTGCTCGGAGGGTTCTTCAATACTTTCTGAATTAATGTACTAATACATCTTTCAGTAGCATGTGTTATTAATAAAAACCACTTACCATTTCTTTTATGTACATCTCACTACAATGAACGTGGCAACCAGCCCATTAATGGAATCTCCTATTTATTTACTAAGGGCATGAAGACATCTAGCAAGCAGGATGAGGCCTGGATCATGAACCGTCTGATAAAACAGCTCACAGACATGGGCTTCCCTGTGAGTAGAGCTCAGCCAGCACACTGTGCCTTAGTTTTTAGCTTGTACTTCTGACTGTGGCTGTTTCAGACTGTAGCTACACCAAGGTCTTTTGTCTCCAGGCTGGGAAGTAGCTCTGACCTGCATTTAAACACGTACTGTGATTTCAGAAATCTGCTGTAAACCTATAGAATGCTCTGAGATCAACTGGGGATATCGTTTCCATGAGGACATTTATAATATTTGGAAGTTCATGGTTTTATAACAACAAGTATTACTTTGAACTGTAGTAATAAGCTCCTCCCATTTCTCTTTTTTTATTAAACAGGTGAAATTAGAGTATAGCTGGGTTGCTTCTTAGAAAAAGTCATATCATTGTGATATTTGAGTTGTTAATGGAAAACAGGAAGAAGTTTAAACAGAACAGTGTGTTTCACCTTGTAGAGCCAGTACTTCGTTGACAAACTGAAATACCTGAACTGTGGGAATTGCTGAAAGCAGGAAAAAAACACATACAGACATTATTTAGGCTGCTGAGTGAACATTAAACCCAATATTTAAGAGATATGTCTGTTTTCTCAGGTTACTTTGAAATCACATGAATCATATGATCCCTTTTCCTCTTAACATAATTCCTGTTTTTACAGAGAGAGCCAGCGGAAGAGGCCTTGAAGAGCAACAGTATGAATCTCGATCAGGCCATGAGTAAGTATCTGTGTAAGTAACTTTTTTGTCTTTAAAGCAACACAGAAACCCTGCATGATTCTGAGCATTTGATTATATTCAGACCAATTGGATAATGCTGATTTTCTTTCCTTGCTTTTGTAAGCAAGATGTATTTCTCTGAACTGCTCCTGGCAACTTTCCTCTCTCTGCCTCACCTTCTCCAATATCTTTCCCCTTTCTGTGCAGGTGCTCTGCTGGAAAAGAAGGTGGAAATGGACAAGCGTGGAATGGGAGTGACCGACTATAATGGAATGGTCACCAAACCCCTTGGCTGCCGCCCACCACCAATCTCCAAAGAGTCTTCCATGGACCGCCCCACCTTCCTTGACAAGGTGAGTTCAGCTACAGGAACGTGGTGCACAAGTCAGAGTGTGCACAGTGTAGAAATGATTTTCATTGTCTGCTTAGAAAGCATAGAATGAAATGTGATAGATAAGTCTTTATTCCTTTTCTTGTCTTTTTTCAATCTTGTGGGGAATTCAGTCCTTGTGGAAAGGATCAATTACTTGATTCTCACTTAGAAATAAAGTGTTATCATTCCCAGTTTTGCACTTGAATACTTGCTGAGGAATCAGCAACACAATGGAACTAGAAATGGAAAAAAAGAGCAAAGAATTGAGCAGAGGAATCTTGTCTCTCTGTGAGAGTCCAATCAGTGACCCTTGCCCAGATTCACAATCAGGCAGGACTAAGGCCAAAATCTTCAAAGAATTGGGCTCTTAATTTCTCTTCTTTTAGTTTTGAGCTTCTTAGAAATTTCAGTGAAAGTTCAGTACCTAAATATGAAGGAGGAGTTCAGGTATTTTTGTCAAGTCTCAGAGCAGACATGTACAGTCATAAATAGCTTCTCCAATGAGTTTCCCTTTCTGTGATCACATATGACAAATTCTACAGCACTATTTGATGACTGAGGAAAAGGCTCCAGAAGTTTGTGGCGTCCAGGATTCAGACTAAAGAAAAGAATATATGGAAAAGTGTAGCCAGATCTTCAGTAGGAAATGAGATTTACAGCCTTGACAGAAAATCCTGCAGAAACTTACTAAATCACCTAAGACTCCCCCTGAAAATTATTGATAAGAAAAGAAGAATCTCAGATGTCATTCTGTATTTCACAGGTTATTTAAAGGTTCATACAGATGGGGGGTGGAGGATTCTGAACACAGAAATCAGTGCTTTTGACAAACTGTGCTGAAATCATTTCAGATGAGCTGTGTACAAGGTGTGAGGCAGTAATGATATCCACTCATATAAAGTTCATTCTTAGCCATGGCAGATTTTAATGAATGTGTTAATTGAAGGCCACAAAGATGCATGCATGCCAGTTAGCCTTTCCTTTTTTTTGGATAACAATATCTTCAGCAGTAAAATTCTTGCCAGAGAGAGAGGTGCATTATGTGCAGCTTGATGCATAATTCTGGAAACATATGTTAAATACAACTATTGAGAAGGGAGTACTAAAATCATTAATATTCATACAGCAAGTAAAATCTATCAGTCTAGGCATAATCTGTCACAGTGACTTGGCTCTAACAAAGGAAATAATCCCACACTGTATTTGTTAGCTATCACAGTGTTGAGCAACTTGCTAAGTGAATTAAATAAATATAGTTTCTACTCTAAGAACACAGGGTTTTTTTTCCCCAAAGAAATTATTTCCAGATTTACAGCTCATGCTGTAGAGCAGCTCCTCCAAAACCTTTTTGCCCTTTGAGGTACTGTTTCAGAGCATGAGTCTGGAGCTGTCTTGTTTCTGCTTAGGTCATCCTCGGTGAGGAACAAGCTCTCCTCACATCTGGACAGAGCACTCCAGCCAACATGCCTTGTTTTACTTATTGCTTTGTCAAGTCATCATCTTTTTGTTGGCTTTGCTGAATCTTCAACAAAAGATTCAAGCAAAGATTCAACCTTCTGCAAGGTTCCTCTTTATGAAGTTGTAGCTTGGGTTGGTGTGCTCATTGTTACTGCTCAGCTCACCTGCATTGAGACTCCATCATTTTTCTCTAAAGCCAGCACTTAATGTTTTTTAAACTTCATCCGTTTGAGGAGGGAAAATTTCCAACTCTGGCATTTGCTTCTGGGCCCACTGATCTCCCTGTTCTCTCTGGATCAGGAGTGGTCTGTGCAATTCAACATCACCTTTGAGTGTTTGCTTTCTCTGCTTGCTGCAGGTGCTCTTTATTCCATGTCACACCGAGTCAATCTTCAGCACTCAGTGCTTTGTTAATTTATTATTTCTCAGGATGTTATCTTGACCTGTAGCACCATAAAAAGGACAAGGGAGAAAATCCTTTGAGTGGCCTTGAGGGAATAAAGAAGCATCCCTGATACGTGATCTCAACCACATTATCTCACACTTGGTGGCAGATGTGCTGTGCTTGCTGTCAGGTTTGCCTGAAGATGTTACCTGCTGTCTTCTGGAGCCATCAGATTTGTAAGAAATGCATGTCAGATTTTCCTGGAAGCATCCTTAAAATACCAGAAATAAGCCTAGGGAAGGGATCTTATTTTCAAGTATAGAGACTCTGAAATTCTCAGCCTGCAGATGAAGTCTCCTTTTCCTGCCCTCATAGTCAGTGATCAGCTCCTCTTCTCTACTGCTGCAAAATCCAGGTCTACAAGCCTTGATGCCTCTTAGCTGCAGTCCTGTTCTTCCAAAAATCTTCTGACCAGACCTTTTCCTTGTTTCTGATGTAAACATAGTGTTGGGTTTTTTCAGCCTCGTCCTTCACATTCTGAGCCCAGTAATCTCTGGGCAGTGTGATTGGTTTTTGTCTTTAGGACAGCAAGTAGGATATTGTATTAATATGGAGAAACTTTTTTTAGATGTCACAATTAGATAATGATCACTAGGATTTTAAAGTTGTCTGTTAAATTCTTCTTTCCTCCATCTCTGCCACCTGTGATCCAATGACTGAAGCCATTTTCATCACCTCTTGTGTGATGAGCACTTCTCTGAGTATTGCATTTCCTCCAGATTTCTTTTGCCTAATTCCTGTTTGATTTAAAGATAATTTTTTTAGATGAGATTTCATTACTTTACCTTCCTCTTTTAGGATAGGATTTTTTTTTCAGTCTTTTTTTTAAGAAGTCAGTGTGTATTTTCTGCCAGCTACTGACTGTTTAAAGACCTCTGGCAGATTCATCAGCCTCTCATGTGTCTGTTGAGACATTTTGATTCATGAAGTGGCAGTTCTTGGCAGGTGACTGCCAAAGTGTCCAGGCATCCTCTGCTAAATTGTCCATATCTCATAGGGCTAAAAACCTTTGAGTAAATCCACTGTCATTCTGTCACATTTGGTATTTGAGACTATTGTGAGAGACTTCCTAAAATCTTAAAAAGCACCAGTGTGGTGCTTTGTGTAAGATAACTGTAGTAGGAAACACTGCTACCAGTAGGATTTTATAGGTGTGTCAAGTCTCTTCAAAAAAGTTAAAAGTAATGCTGGATTGAGCATTAATGTGATGATTCAGTTTTTAATTGAGTAGCCTGAGGAAGAAGTGTAACATAAATTTGTAAGAAAATCGCTGAAGAGGAAAGGTTAGGTAGAAAAATTAGTTCTTCAGGAAACAATTATTGCATAAAGGATCCTGAGAAATAATGGATCAGAAACCACTGTGAGCAGTAAAATTGTCCTCTAGTCTGGCTTGAAAATGGCTAAAGGGTGCTTTAATTTGACCAACTAAAATACTTCATGTTAAATGAATTGATTTTAGTTCAATTGTAGAGCACAGATTTGTGCAGCACCATGCAATAAGTTCAAATTAAATAAAATAGAACCAGGTGAATATAAACAAAGTGTTAAAAACTTATACAAAGCCATTTGCTGCAATTCAGCCAAGGAACACACTTGTGAAGGAGGCTGGAAATTAAATCCCTGGTCTCCAGTGTGGTTTGTCCCCCACCATCCTTGGCACTGCCTATTTCCAAATTGGGAAAAATCATGTCAGTAAGGCAAGACTTGAATAAATCCGGGGGGCAGGGAGGGTCTTTCATGGTCAGTGGATCTGTTCACACCGGGAGCAATTGCATCTGAAGGGGAGAGCGAGCACCAAGCTTGAAATTATTTTCACTTTGAAGGGGGGAGGGTAGAATTGTAAACATATGTCTGTGATCTAAAGAGAAATCCTTGAACCTGTTACTGTCATGCAAGCTGCAGTTGTTTGTGGAGTGTGACTGATGTCCAGTAGAATGTAAAATATCTGAAGCTGAAAGGCCTTGGGGATATCATTAGAAAATGTCAGTGTCCCCCTCAGGATCGTCAGATAGGATGTCAAGTGTCACTTTGCCTGATAGCAAAAAAACTTTTCCTTTGCATCAAAGGAGAGCTGTAGAAAATACATTTTTGAGGATTAACTTAAAATGTCTAATTCACTGAGCATGCTTGCTGCATGAGGTCATCTGTTTGGGTATGTGGTAAGCAGACTGGGCTGCTTTTTGAACAAAGGAGGTTCACCAGTATCTCACAGTCTTCTGGGGCATTGAATTTATTGCTTGAAATAACCTAGCTCCTCACTTCTTTAAAAAGCCTTTCTTTGCAATGAACATACTGCCTGAAATACACCAGCCCAGCACATTGCAAATTAAATCTCTTTCTCTCTGCCTGTTATTTTGGAGCCCTGCTTTGTACACAGTGTTATTTGATCATGCTTACCACAGGCTTCCCAGACATCAAAGCACAGTTTGAGATAGAACTCAGTGCCCTACTGAAACATGAGCAGAGATCTACCTGTTTGATTGGAGGTTCTCTAATTTATTTTATATTCTGCCTTTTCCCCACCATGGGGGCTGCCTCCTGTGCATCAGATCCATGCTCAGCTGTGGTTCCTCACAGCCCAGTTAGCAGAGGGGGCTCCTCCTGCCTTGCTAAAATCTGCCTCCTCCTGGGGATGTCCAGGAAGGCTGCCCAGCCGATATTGTCATTACTGGGTCTGATGGTTTGTGTTCATTGGCTGCCTTGCAGAGCAATGTTTCAGAGTGGGGTATTAATAACTCAGCGCTATGTGAATATTAAAAGAGGCTCATGTGTCTCAGTTAGGAAAGGGGATTAATGCAAAAATGCTTTTTTAAGAGCAGAGCTATGATGTGGAACCAAATCCAGACTGGTGTCAAATAAGCTGCTGTGGCCTTTCCCAAGATTTGGGTTTGTTAAAGTGCTGGTTTATGTCTGTGCTCCAGTGTGGAGTTTTCCAGGCAGACAGAGGGCTTCCCTGAAATGTGCTGGGCCTCTCCCCCTTGCACCTTTCAGTCTGGTGGAGAAGAAGGGAGAAAACCTAAATGGGGAGGAGGCAATGGCCACATGATAGCTCTGCAATCAGCTGCTAAAATCCCTCCTTTCCTCTGGAAGGGTGGGTGAGGGGGATTGTGCATTTGGGAATTAAATGCAACCAAGTTACAGAAAACAGCACCTTAATCCTGTTTCTCTCTCTCTTCTCCCTTCACTCCATGCTTTCCATTCTCTGTTATTCATCTCTTTTTTTTTTATGTATCTCTTTTTTATCCATCCACATCTTTTTCTGTCTCCATGGGACTCTGTTTTGTGCGCTGTGGGCTCCTGGCACTGCACACAGCTCACCCTTTCTTTCTCCAATCAGGATGGCGGCCTAGTGGAAGAGCCCACTACTTCACCATTTTTGCCTTCACCAAGCCTGAAGCTCCCCCTTTCAAACAGTGCACTCCCTAATCAGACCCTGGGCGGGATTGCCTCAGGGCTGGGCATGCAAAACTTGAATTCTTCTAGACAGGTAAGGTTGTTGGGGGAGATCCCCAGGGGAATTTGGCTCTCTTGGAGTAGCTGCTAGTGCCTGTCAGCCTCTTCCCCAGGAAAAAAAGGGTTAAAACTGCAAGTGCAACAGCTTTGTTCATGTGAAATATCAGAGGAGGAGCTACCTGCTGTGTAAACATCTCACCTTACAGGACATGAAAAAGCTGTGTAGTTGTAATTAGCCTGCTGATGACACATATCCATCCAGAAGAGACTGTGGTGTTGTGGATTTATTCCCCTGAACCCTGGTGTGGCTCTACCTTCATTGATGGGAAATCCCTTTTTTTGAGGCATTGCTAATTGTCACAGACTGTAAGGCAGTGAGATTGCTCTAATTCATCTTTGTTGGCTGGTGTAATTATTCTGTGATGAGATAGGGGAGAAGTGATGAGGGGCTTTTTTATTCTTGCTCCAAGAGTCAAGGCATCTCATAGTTTTAACAGGTGGCAGGAAAGAAACTGGGCTTCCAGGACCTGGGTCAGGTAGAGCATTGGAAAGGAGAAAAGACAAAAAGGAGAGAAGATAAAGGGAGGGAGAAATGATAACCACCATGAGAGTGAGAAGCCATTAAGTACTGTTGATTATGAGAAGGTTATTTTTGCCATCAACTGAAGTCCCAGCAAAGATACGAAATAACAACACAGAAAAACTTTGTCATTCTGTTGTGGCTCTTTATTATATATATTCTTCTAAAATCAGTTTTCTTAAGGCAGTACTTGTCCAGCACTTACAGCCCATTAAGCACATCTTTCCAAAGCAGTCTCCACTAACAGCATGTCCATTATCAGTAGCTTTGTAAAATGACTAAGTAAAAAAACTGCTTAGCCAGCTGGAGGATGGGGTTACTGTGAGTTTAATGCCTCCATTCTCCTGTCCCTTGCTATACAAATATGAACATTTTTGGCAAGTACTTTTGATTTTTCATCTTGTAACCCTCCAGGGTTCTGCATCCTTAAGAAAGCCATCTTCAACTTCAGCTGCCTTTTGTTCAGGCATCTGTATAAAGTTTGGAGGTGTTGGGATGTTGGGTACATGGTAATCTTTGCCCTGCCCAATTCTAAACCTGGTTTTCAATACACTTTATGTGCTGGTCTCTTGATTCGTGCCTGTCATAACCACTAAGAATAAAGCCTGCACAGACGAGGAACACGCAGGTTATGTGCTGAGTGGTGCCACTGAGTGCCTGTGTCACTGTTGTCCTGCTGCAGATACCGAGTGGCAATCTGGGTATGTTTGGCAATAGCGGAGCAGCACAAGCCAGGACCATGCAACAGCCGCAGCAACCGCCAGTGCAACCTCTTAATTCATCCCAGCCTAGTCTTCGTGCTCAAGTGCCTCAGTTTCTATCCCCTCAGGTCAGAAACACCTCACTCACAGCCTTTCCCTTCCCCTGCAACTCTTCCCGTGTGCTCTGTCGTGCTCCTGAGGCTTCCTAGCCACTGCTGCCTGGCTGTGCCCGTGTTATTTATTTGTTTCCTAGGCAGAAGATGTGGCATGGCTGAGCTGTTCTCACATGCATATCATATAATTATGTCTGAGAGCACGTTCTTGTGCTCCTTTTTGCTCAGTGGTTTCTGAGGAGTTTGTTCTCATCTCTTTTTTTATAAATGAACACTTGAGTATGATTATTATGATTGTATCAGAGCCTTCTGCTAATTTTTTTGATAGTTCATGGTGTTACTTCTGGTGATAGTAACATTTTTCCAGCTGATGTGACTCACACAGTTGCCACTGTTAAAAGTAAATGTACAATGTTTAACACTCTTTTCTTCTTTAGGTTCAAGCACAGCTTTTGCAGTTTGCAGCAAAAAACATTGGTCTCAGCCCTGCACAGTTAACCTCGCCAATTAATAATCCTCAGCATATGACGATGTTGAACCAGCTCTATCAGCTGCAGCTGGTGAGTTAAAAGACGTGGCAGATAAGCTCTAAATCAGAATTGAAAGCATGAAGATAAAATAGGAGAATGACTAAATTTTTAAATGACATGACAGATCTTCAAAACAATCAGCTGCTGATTTCTTTGGTAAAGTTTCTTTTTAAAGAAACACCATCTTTTTTTTTTT